GGGGCATTACAAAATTCAAAAGTTATTACATTGAATTCATAAAGGTTATATTTAGTAATAAATGCAGTTTTTTTTTTCTTCCTCTTTCTTTCTTTCTTTTTTCTTGGCCTTTTTCTTAGTTTTTCTTTTTCTTTTTTATTATTCATCAATTTTTCTTCTTTGTGCAACTTCTTTTGCACCAATCATATTGTAGTTATACAAAGCACCTTTGTGCTACCTTAAAACAAATTATTTTATTTTTTCTTACCATAGCCCTTGTAATAACTAGTAGACCTCAAAATTTATATTTTTGGGTAATATTACACAAATACAAATTTTTATCAAATTTGTATTTTCTTTTCTTACCTCTGCTTACCTTATAAATTTATAGTCTCTATTAGTTATTCTTACTCTTTATCAATTAAATTTTTCAAAAAAATTTATTTCATTTTATTATTTTTTTTTATAATTATCAAACTATAATATTAAGTAATAGCTATACTTGTGAATATTACTCTGGCAAGTATTAGCTTAATATTATACAAAGTGTAATATAAAGTGATAGCTGAATTCATGAATAATACTGTTGCAAGTATTAGCTTTATATTATAAGAAATTTAAAAAGCTATATATAGCTTATGACAGCCTGATTATTGGTACTTGGTACTTTTGTACTTTTATTTCTCTAGTTATATCTACAGATATCTTTAGGTTTTTGTGGCTAATAATTCTTATAAAGAGAAAACACAATAAGTGTTCTACTGGCTAATACAAAAGGAACAGTAAACAAAATATCCCTTCTTGATCTACTGAATAAGCTCTATATTTTCTAGAAGGCTATTAAATTTAAATTTCATATATTATAATAGTTTTCTTCGTTTTTATTATTATTTTTCTTTTTAATTATTCTTTTTGTTTAGTTTTAATTTATATGAAACCTTTTTCTCAAAAATATTTTAACTTTACTTGGCAATTTTTAAAACATATTCTGACTAGTGAAGAATATAATACTTTAATCGAAAAACTTGAAGTTGCAATTAAGTTACTTCAATTCTTACTTTAGAGCAGACAAATGGGGTTGAGTCAATAAAAATCAAGCAAATATTTTTTAATAAATTTTTTTAAAATTTTAAACAAGAATAACTTAACAAAAACTTGATTAAATTTAACAAATTTTTTTTTAAACTAATTCTAAAAGTTTATAAAAATTATTTAAAAAAATTTTTATTAAATTTGGTTACGTTTTTGTTAAATTATTCTTGCTTAAAGTTATAAAAAATTTTTATTATAAAAAATTTGCTTGATTTCTATTAACTCACCCCAAATATTCTTTTTGCATACTCTAAATTCTCTGACTTTTCTTAGGGCAATGGCAAATCTACACCTTTATCTGAGGAACTTTGGGATAACAGTCATATTATCGAATTTGACTTTAATACTTCTGCTTAATCTTCTATCTATTACTTAGAATTTTCTAATCCAGATAATCCACAAGAAACTATTTATATATTACCTTCTAAAAGGAACTTTGCCTCTTTTTACTACTTTTATATTGCAACTAAGTGTATAGAATTAAAGTTATTTGAAACAGAAATTGAAAATAATACCTTCTCTTGTGATGGTATTAAGCAATTGTTTAAATTTTATCAACAACATAGATTTACATCTTATTTGGATTAATTTTTTATAAATATTATGCAATATAAAAAGATTATTCAACAATATAATTTCATTTTTTAATATTAAGGTGACCACTTAGGTCCCCAGCACTTAGCTTTATTCAGATAAATACAATATTACATCAATTTCACGAGGATACAACTAGCCACACGTGTACTTTTGGTACCTAATTTAAGTAGTCCATCTGGGTTCTACACTAGCCGCCATACCTGCAACCTAACTAGGAGATTACCTATTTAAGCTCTCTGATTATTAACTAATGAGAGTACGACTAGCCATACATGCAACTTTTGGTTACCTATTTAAGTAGTCTGCTCTAGGTTCCACACTAGCTGCCGTACCTGCACCCAACTATGGAGGATACCCATTTAAATCCTCTGGCTCTATTTCTGTAACATGCTTTATCCTAACACTCTTAACAAGATTAGCAATGCTACAACATAATTTCATTTATTCAACTAATTATTGTATTGTCTATAGTAAATACAAAGCCAAACCCGATTCTAGCTATTCTGAGTATAATCTTAGAACTTTAAACTTTTCTCTCTCTATACAATTTAGTAGATTTTGGCTCTGCTTCAAGCTAAATATCAAGCTCTAAGTTTTTCAAGATATACTATTGATTTATTTTGGGCTATATATCAACAAAGTGAATTTACTAATAAAAGTAATAATATTCACAAACTATTAACTACTTGCCATTATCAAAATAATCAACTACCAAAAGAATTTAGTGAAATTGTTTCTGAAGTAGCTGCTAAGTAAAACAATATATCAGAATTTGTTTTATTATTTACATCTACGAAATATGATACTAAGTCTGACATTTCTACTATAGCTATAATAGTTGAATCCACTGATTCTGTAAAGGATAATAATATTCATAATAGTGAAAAAGAAACTATAAACAACAAAGCAACTACTTCTAATAAAAATAATGTAGTACCAATCTCAAATCAATACAATAAGTTTTTTACTAATATTCTTTTAGATTTAGATCACTTAGAAAATATATCTGGCCAAAGAACTTCTAATTGCTGAGAAGAAACTTTGATAAATATGTGAAATACAAATAGAGATGATAATGATCAAATGTCCTAGCTAATTCTTCATAATCAATTTGATCAAGTGGCTAAGGAATGAAGAATACCTAGAAATAATAATAGACTAGATGATAACTAACTAAATGATAATAATTAACATAAAAAGGAAAATCAATTCTTAGCAAAAGATGCTATAAATGCTATAATTGAAGACTTTAAAAGAATAGTTGAAAATGATACAGAGCAAGCTATTATAGCTACTCAGCCTAAAGAATATAAATTAGTAGATTTTTTAATCTTCTCTGGTAATCATGATGATGACTCTGTTGAGTAGTATGAAGCATTTACTAAAGTATATATTAGCAATCACATTTCAAAAAATCGATTAGTTGCTATAGTATCTAACTTCTTAAAAGGAACTACACTATCTTGATATAACTAGATATATTATTTATTTAATCAATGAGATAGTATAGCCAACTCTAATACCTCTTTTTACCACCTCTTTCAAGCTAAATTCTGAGATCCTTTTAAAGTATCTCAGTAGCATTATACTTTTAGAAGTAGAAAGCAAAAATTTAGAGAAACAGTTAATATATATAATTCTGCCTTGAATGAATTATAGCACAGAATAGACCCTAATAGCACTTATTCTAAGGTTGATGAGATAAATTAGTTTATTGATAGTCTTTGTCAAGAGTTTCAGATATCTGTATAGTCTAAAAGTTCTACTATTTTAGCTAATATAGTAAAAAAGGCTAAAGCTATAAAAGTTGCATACTCTAAAGGAGGTGCTCTTTCTGCTTACTCTTTACTTTCTACCTCATTCCAGCCACAATTCTTTGGAGAATATACATCTCCGGTACAAATAGCTACTTTGACACAACAGCAAAATAGTAAAAATACTAAAATATTAGAAGCAATTAATTGTTTAAACAAAACAATGGAACAAAATAAATCTCAAAATCAATAATTCCAATCTTGTAATCAAAATAACAATAACTACAGTAATAACAATTATAATAACAACAACAATTATAGATTAAATAACAATAATAATTGTCAAAAATGTGAAAAAACTGGACACTAAGCTTCAAATTGCACTGCTCCATATTGTACTAGTTGTCAACAAATTGGACATGATACTCATCATTGTCATACAAATCAAAATTGGAGAGCAAACAACAGTAACAAAAACCACAATAACAATAACTGGAATAATCATCACAATAATAACAATAACTGAAACAACAATAATAATTGCAATAATAATAATTAAAACAATAATAATAGAAACAATCACCAAAATAATAATAACAGTAATAATAACAATAATAACAATAATAATCCTTCTTCAAATAACAATAATAATAATAATAACAATAACAACAACAATAATAATAATCAACATCAACATTTAAACTAGAGTTGGTATTTCCTAAAGATGAGTATACCACTAATACAAACCCCTCACTTAATAAAGAAGTAGACCTTATTAATCTGTTTGATGAAATTGATAATAAACTTAACTTGAAGAAAAGTAATTATAATAATATTAATGAACAATTAAATTCCTGAATAGATTGTAAAGACACTATAGAGATATTTGGGTTGAACTTAGGTGAAGCTAATTTTGATATAGATAATAATATTCAAATAGATGATATAAATAATGTATTATTTACAATAGCTAAAGTATTAAGAGTATTTATTAATATTCTGGTTAATACCAGATCTAAAGTATATGTAGTTGCTAAACACTTCTTAGATCGAGTTCATCTTAATATTAATAAACCTAGCAATATAAGAGTTGTAGATATTACAAGTAACAAATCTACTCCTCTTGGTTGAGTTAAAAATATGTCTGTCTTACTAGATACTAAACTTATATATATAGATATATTGATAACTGAATTAAAAGAATATAATGTAGTTCTTGAAAATGAATACTTAGATAAAGCCCAAGCAACTATTGATTATTATGATGAATTTATGAATATTGGAATCGCAAACCAAATTGAATATGTCCCAATATCTTATAAACAACAAATAGAAGACCCAAATACTATATACTTTATAACTTTTAAAAATATTCACTCTAAACAGAAGTTAGAGTTAGAATTAGAAGAGGATTTGATAAAGCCTACCTACACACAGCAATCCAAGTGGGTAATATCTTTATACAACTAGAGAACCAACTTATTGCAAATATAAAGATAAAAAATATTAATAACCCTCTTCAATATCAACCTGATAACATATTTAAACTCATACAACCAGAAATAAATAAAATAGAAAAGGAAAAAGATAAAAGCCAAAAACTATCTATTTCTATTTCTAATGATAAAAAAACTTTTATAGGCTATACTCTTGAGGATCAACAACAAACTATAATACAATTACTTCTTAACAATATAGATATATTTGCCACTAAATTTTCTGAGTTACAAAAAACTAATATTGTATATCACACTATTCATACTAGTGAATCATACTCTATTAAGCAATGAGTATATAGAGTATCGTCTATAGAACAACAACATATTAAAAAAGAAATTATACAAATAGAAAAAGATAGTATAATTCAAAAATCAGAAAGCCTATGGAGTTTACCTGTTGTTCTAGTAAAAAAGAAAAATAGAAAATTGAGATTCTGTATAGATTTTAAAAAATTAAACAATATTACTAAAAAAGATACTTATCCTCTACTACAAATTGATAAAATGCTTAATAATTTGGGTAATACTTAATAGTTTACATCTCTTGATTTAACTTCTGGTTATTGGCAAGTAGAAGTTAATGAGGAAGATAAAAAAAAAACTGCATTTATTACTAAATATAACCTTTATGAATTCAATGTAATAACTTTTGAATTTTGTAATGCCCC